TGGCCTTAGAATTATTTGCTATGATCGGAGAGGTTGTTGGTACATTGTCTTTGTGACCCTATATTTTATTGTAGGATAATGTATTATTTTTTACTGAATGATATTGGAACAAAATTAGTTCCCCCTGGGGTATTTGACTCTTCAGTATTTAATAAAGTAAACGAGATATGGATTTTTTTTAGAATAGGAGTTAAATAATACTTAGTTAGTTTTCTAATAACAGTATTTATTTTGCTGTTTAGTGTCGATTGTTTATTTCAGGACCCATAATTTATTCTTTGTAATTATTTTTAGATTTTCTATTGTTGATTTACTTACATAATATTTGACTAACAAAAGTCCTTCAATGACTAATACATATACAACATACATATGTAACAATGTACAAAAGTAAATGAGGAAAAATAAAATTGGTCTTTTGGTCCAAAATTCTATATTTCAAATTTAAAAGTACCTAGTAGGCAGATCATTCCTTATCTGGCTTATGACACTTGATTGTCCAATCAAGGCCTTCTTCTTGTCTTTGGGTCCAAATAAAGTACGATACGCACTCCATTTACGTTCAAATCTTACGTCATCGAAAATCGCGTGCGTATGTGATGTTTGCGAATATAAAATACTTACATACTATTAGGTACATGGAGTTTTTTATCGTGTAATAATAATTTGAATTGAATTATCCTTGGGATAAAATTTGCGTTATGTTTTTGTTGCTAAGTATGTATATGCGAAATATTTATGTTAACGATTATGTTAAATTAAGTCTAACTACTTAGGCAATAGGACGCTATTTACCTAGCTAATTGGTGTTGTTATTTACTTATCTATAACTGTGAGTTTTTGAAGGATATGTGTACTTAATGGACGACACTGACAATAAGATTAGGCATTCTATAATTCGATAATTTTGATAGGAAACTCTTAGAGTAAAGAGCGGGTCACCTCTTTATTATAGCTAATACTATTTACACACTTACAGTAAAGAGTCGTGTTCCTGGTCCTAAACTGAACCCTTGGGTTCTTCCCTCAAGCTAATTACTGGTTTATTATTAAATCAGGTACATACATATTATAGACACACTATCCAAATACGTTAGCTTTAATGTTATATAATTTTTCCTTCTTCAGTTCTGTAACTTTTCAAACCCAAGCATAGAATTGCGTCATACCCCTTTTATTAGCCTTAACTAAGGAAAGTTTATTTATGACTTACTTACTTACTTTATAACTAAATTGAACTTCAATTGCCTTAAGTAAATTAAGTAGTATTCGTAGGTAATCGCTCTTTCTAAACCCATAGCTTTTATTTATTCTCGTGCAGTATTTATTTCTTAAAAATCTTGTTATCTGGTCCTTTTGGTCCCATCCATTCTTCCTAGACAGAGACATTAAGTCTTATCTCTCCTTATCATCATAATTGCATACAATTCGTTTAATGGCTCATCATCAGTCCGTTTCCGTCCTTTATTGGAAGTACTGGGCATACGTCTTTCAACCGGCTCGTCGCAACAAACAACTGCCAGCCATTTTGCGAATATTAACACTCCACTTAGATAGAAGGCATCCATGTTGTAGGTAGTCTTATACATAGTTTCATTTAACAATCCAACAGGTACATAGATAAAGCCGTTACTATCAAATCAAGTACGTAGTAATTAGTAATTATTTTAATTACTATAATTAGTACCTAATGTTTTCATGGAAAATAACAATTACTGGGTCGTTAACCGTTCTGTGTCAGAGATAGTAACTCTCTAAGACGACCTAACAGGGTCGCATTTTGCAGTAACTATCGTGACATTTACTTAATTGAAAGAAAAAACAGCTTCAGCTTATTTGTCAAGGCAGCCGGAGACTCGTATTCATAAGCTGCGTGCGCGGTGCGGAGACGACGCAATTGCTTACTGTAAATCTTCTTTTAGATACTTTTTCTCTTAGACCAGACAAGCGAGAAGTAGAAAATTTCACTATGGGAAGACCGGTCTTTTATAGTTAGCACATTAATAAAAACTGTTACATTTAGTAAGTGGGTACTGAAATATTGTTTAAGACCTATCAAAGCTTATTTTTTAAGTCCCGTTTGTGGTCCTTTTATACGAATCCATAGAAAAAAGGTTTCTCTCAAATAAATGCATTTAGACTCGTTATCATAATAGCACACATTAGGTGGTAATTAGATACATTTGCGGTCGCAAATTTTCTTATTGAAAAACAAATTACTCAACCAGCCTCGACCAGTAGGTGGTACCTATAATTACATCATAAATTATACAGCCGTTCGCAATTATGTAACCTGATATTGCTACATATTAGAAATATAATCAGCTGCATTGATACTGTCTGTCTGTTGTAACAGTGACAGTAACAACTTGATGTTAGAAAATAGCAGGCATTTCCGGATAAAACTAGTTGTCTAGTCAGCTGAGTTGATCGAGAATTGATTTCATTGACACCTAATCAATTGAGATTGAATATGTCAATGATTTGAACTTTTAAATATGTCATAGTAATTTATTTTCGTACTATTACGCGCAAGTTTTTTTATTGTACGATGTCGATGAATTTTTGCCTAATACGGAACCTTTCAAATATAACTGTTTGGTCAAACTAAACGTAAATTCTTCGCCCTTAAAATGTATAAGGGTGCCGATATTGAGCCAAAAGAGACTTTAGTAGGCGCCTAGCTCTTTGGGAGAAGTACTAGAGAGTGTGGGATTTTTACCTTACTAAAACCACCCCGGTGGCCACCCTGCACCTGGAAGAGGTACTGGGTCCTCTAACATTGTTAAAGACCTAGGTCAATTTACGTATCGAAGGACCAGTTAAACAAATGCAACCGATCCATAAAACATACCGTTATCGTACTCACATCACATCCATTTTAAACACTAATCAGACTCAGCTGCTTCGCCAATTAAAAATAATTCCCCTCGTGACTATATTTATCAATGCTTTGATATCTATAATGTCTATTTATAGTGCAAAAGTTTACAAAAGAAGAGTCGGGACCTGTTTATCCAATAATTGCACAGGTCAACGTGATTGCTGCCTATCACAAAATCGTACGACAAAAATAATACATCACTAAGCGATGTTTTTTATTGCACCAGACTCTACTAAATATAGTGAGGCACTGTCATCATCACAATTATTAATGTTGTGTTAATTTCCAATAATCTTATCGTCAGCTTGTTTATTGCTCCCCCTTGTGGAAATGTACAAGTCACAAGATAACTGACCCCCTACGAGTCAAGCGTCTTTTGTAATGACGACACATTAATAGCATATTGCTAATGTTTATAACTATTTACAGAATCTCGAACTCGATCTCAATTTAATGTTTATTATTTTCTGCTTTATTTATTTCTCCAGTGTTTCATCATTTTGGTTTCGTCGATAACGCTTATAACGCAAGTTGTGGAAGTCTTGCTATTTTTTGTTTGTCGTGAATTCGCGAAATTGGCTTTTTTGCACGAAAGTAAGACGAAACCAAATTATCGCAATCCGAAACTGCAGAGTCAGAATCTAATTTGTTTTTGTGCTCTACACGCAACTCCGGTTATAAATCCTGCCAGGACTGCCGAGAGATTTAATCGGGAACAAGATGTGTGACTGAGAGAGAACTAGTTAGTCGACTACTTAACATCCGTATCGATCAATCTATGGGAAATTATACCCATTAAAACTGTTCACTAGATTATTAATGCATGGTTACAGACGAATGGCGAGTAATTAGCTCCTTTACTAATCAATACAAAATCTAATTTTCTGCACAGAAAATGTCTTGGAGGAATGTCTCTTTTGCGGACAGTACGCGTCAAAAATGGTGTCAATCACGCGATTTCGATTGTTGACTGCTCTGATTGACGTCTTGTTTACTTGTGATGTGGAGCGATGAACGTTGAAATATGGCAATATGGCATGCCACTCATCCCTACTAATGGAGGGGAGCAGCAGACATCTAGGCTACACTCAGTTGCACTTTTCCCTTCAGACAACTTTTACCTAACACCGATTCTCAGTTTGTGACTTAGAACTATTTTGAGCTCTAATTTATCTGGTTTGTGATCATAATTTCTGTTGATAGCGTAACTTCCTCATTTGGATATCTAAAGAAAACAAACTACGTAGAAGTAAGATTTTTTTATTATTTTCTGTTCCATTGTCCCACTTCCCTCACCCTTTGACCCAGTACCAAAGAAGCTGCGCAAATAATATTTTGATGAAATTAACTATTATTATGAATAACGCGGTTGGCAACATTATCTCAGTCAAATTATCGCTATCCCAATATCGTATGACGTCAAATATATTATTTAAACAAACCCTTGACGTCACGCATTGAAATCGGTACGTCTTGGTGTTGTGAAGCAAAAGTATTTGTCATTTAGTCGAATGTTAATTTAGCTCATGTTTTTGTTTTATTATCGAGCAATTGTGTGTTATTGGCATTAAAAACTTGTTTGTATGTTGTACCGAGGCGCTTATAATCTAAAGTGTTTAAGGAGTCTGGTTAGTTTAGTTTCCAACGCCGCTGTGTGATTTTGTGCGGTCAGAACAATTAGTGACCTCTGTGTTTGTTTATATTGAAATAAAAAAATATTTATTTTTTAAATCCTATCGTCGCTTAGTGACAGTTGCACGTGAGTTTCTTTCTTGTGGAACGGAAATAAATAGGGCTAATATATTAATTAGTACTGGTCTAGTTTCTTACTGGCTAATATGAATCTGATATTTGAATGAATATTTTAGTAGTTAATCTTGACAATTTTATTTTACACCTGAGTTCACTGTTCACTAACGCGTGATGAATTTCATTTTGATTTGTATGCAATTATTAGTGCATTCTGTATTTTCCTTTAATTACCTAGAACTTATCGAATATTAAATTACATATAGACTTCAAAAGTCTATATAGACTTGTACCCAAAAATTTTAAAAATATCCAACCATTGCAACTATATGATTCAAAATTCAAATCTGGTCCTTTCAGAAATAACATGAACGGTCCCGAAGGACCATCTCGATGCTGCGATGATGGATGCAAGGGTCTGAACAATACACAGGCAGCCATGGAGCGTCTAGGAATGGAAGAATCTCCTGGCTGTGAAGCCAGCCCTGCTGGCGAAGTGAAGTTGAACAGCAAGAGGTTCGGAAGAGGAGCTGTGGAGTCAGGTTTGTTCCTTTATGTCAATGTTTTGTATGTGATAATTTTACAGGCTAGCTATGGAGTCATCGTACTATTTTTGATGATTTTGACTTGCGGAAAAATGCTCCTAATATGAGTATTAGGAGCCTTTTTCGTCTTTATTAGAACAACAACAATAATACGGAACTAAGGATTAGTTGCACGACAATGCATTAGGTAGGGATCAGTAACATCCTTCACAGGTTTCAGCTGCTGACAGCTCTTATAAAATCTAAGCTACAAGGACCAGTTTATTTTCAGTGTAACGGCAAACATAACCATTTTTAGAACTATATATCAAAGAATACGTACACTACGTACCATTTTCTTTCAAAAGACCTGATTATTCATCATTATAATAATACTAACGTGACTTTCCGTTACTCAACCTTTTGGTTTTATGCTCAACATGTCTGCTCATCAGTTGGGCTGTATATTTTTCTTTTATGACACCTCCACATGTCGTTTGAGCCGCGTTGTACGCAGCATGTTTACAGCACACATTGAATAAATTAGTTGGTTTGCGCTGAGCAGACAAATTTTTAGATTTAGGAAAGTTGCAGTAAATACTTAAACAAACACTACATACTTGGGAACTTAGAGGTTCATTCATTTCAAATAACAAGTATTATGGCATTAGGAGTCTGGGAGTACCTATGCTGAGAATCGCTTAAGACCTGCGGATCTAGAAGTCATCGGAAAAATGCTTATGTTTAACAGCGGATGCCTTGTAGCTGATATAATGAATGAAGAAGCTGAGAATGCCATAAAAACCTGAACATTTAATATTGATAAGTAATCTAAACAAAGACAATTAAAATATATGTAGCTTCACATATAGTATACTTATACTACGATGAAAATTCTACAGCATCGTAAAGTCTAATGATGGGGTATTATATCTTATTATGTACTCTCGGCTAAGGTGCTAATTGCCATGCTAGAAATATACGTAGTTAGGTACAGTATTAAACAATTCGATATCGAAGGTCTTTGTCATCTCTTATGTTATCGACTTGCCCTTCAGTAGAGACCCTTTATCAGCGCTACCTTGAGTTGGCGATGCTGAAAGTGGTTATAACCGCTACTTAATTGAACTAAATGATAGTGAATAAAATTATTTCATAACATTTTGCGACTGGGAATTGATGAATGTTTAATGGTGAATGTGATTTGTGTTTCTTACATCAACAGTTACATTATATTAGCGAGGCAGTTGGTAGGAGTACTTAAGGTGGTCCTAATTAATATTTTATTAATATTTTACGAGTATTTATTACAAGGTATGCAATTCTGTTAAACACAAATTAGGGGGAATTTACATCTTATACTATTATATAAAGCGGAAGAGTTTGTTTGTTTGTTTGAACGCGCTAATCTCCATAACTACAAGTCTGATTTGAATAATTCTTTTTGTGTTGGATAGCGCATTTATCGAGGATGGCTATAGGCTATAAAACATTACGCTACGACCAATAGGAGCTGAGCAGAGCGTGTGAAACCGCGTGGAAGTAGCTAGTTAGTATCAAAATAAATGGGATGATTGCCAAGCAATTTTTTTCGATTTAAATCTCAAAGCATTAAGCCGGTCACAGCTTAGCATTAAAATATTCACATTTATTAATTATAAAGTGTAAATTTGATTGCGATAAACTAGGCATCGATGAGTGAATGTTTTAAAAACGAATATATTACTAGGGTCGATTTAAAGAACTTAGCAGTAGCACTGGAATAATTAATAATTGTAGTTAGTCCTTAAATTGTTCTTTATGCAGTAAATTTAGTGTAAATCATAACTATATTTGATAATTAGTTTACAATTGTTAATTTCACATTAGGTATCTAAACAATCGCCCTGAAACGTGGAGACGTTTCGCAGAGGCGAATTAGGTATTGAATTACGCTATATTTTTTGTTTATTTATAAAAAGCAATCGCGCGAGATTTTTTATAGAGCAATGTTTATGATTTGGTAATGTTAAGGTTAGCTGATATTCACTCTGCGAAAAAATATCGGTTAGTTATGTGATAGGGAGGTTCAGTGGCCTAATAATTTGATAGCAAAGAGTAAAGGAGGTCATAGATTTTTTGAGAATCAAAACCGATACGCTCTTTTCGTTTTCAATGCTCCAATGGCACTTAGGAATCGGCATGAAAATTTAATCATAAATGTACACAGTGTAATACGTCCATTTTGTGATGAGATTTTGCTATTTTTCTACATTCGACCCAAAGGACCAAAAGTGGTCCTTCGGTCCCTATCACTTCTCTTTTTCATAGAACCATCATATTATCTCAGCATGGTGTCTATATTATTATTCCACACCCATAAAACAAACGAGGGCCTAGTTCTAGTTTTTTTTTTTTAGGTTAACGCAAAAGATATGTTACTGCGTCTTTCTGATTGGTCCGGTAACTTGGAGCAGCCAATCAGAGAGCTAAACACGATAATGATTGTGTAAATGTAAAAATAAACTCGCACTAGGCCTTCAGAGCAGCTTTAGATAAAATTCGGAACTCATAGTTTCCGTGTTATCGAATCGAACAGAATAGATAGGGTTTTATCACAGTTGATGAAACTATAGAGGTCATGCCATATGATCGGCTTTGTGACGATAAGGACCACTACCACGTGTCCTATGATTCTAATTGATATTGGAGAAGCATATGATTAGCACGTGATTATGTGCATATTAGAAAGTGTTACAGTTATTGAATAGAGTTTAGAGTGCTAATTGATAAGGTACTGATGATGATTCATTTTTATATGAATGCTGAAAAATACAAAATCAATCTTACTATCTTACTAATAAGTAATATTATAAATGCGAAACTTTGTATTTTGTGTGTGTTTGTTACACAATCACGTAATAACGGCTGAAGGGATCGGGATAAAATTTGGGAAAGGGATAGATTAGGATCTGGATTAACACAAATGGTACTTTTTATCCCACGGCACCGCGGGAAGAGCCCCCGGACAGAGTTAGGTTTTATATGAATGATAAAAATGTTCAATCAATAGATAATAATGTCGAGTATTATGATTCAATAATGTTCATTGAAAAAATGTTATGAATGAATCTGTGTCCCTGATTTTATGATTGATTAGTTGCCTGATTTAAGTAACATGTCAGATAGAGTGATATATTACTATATTAAGCTGAGTTTACTATCGTTAAACCTAGTAAAAGGCCACAACGAAATCTCAAAACAATACAGACCTTCACAAATGTGATGATCCTTCATATCTTCATATAAATCCCAAATGATATGAAACAATTATCAGTAGTAGCAATGAGTCTGGAATTGTGCCCGGTATATGGCAAAAGGCTCGCCCTCTATTACATGAGACTCATAACATAAATAAATAGTGAAAAGTGGGTGTTACATTGTACAGTGGTATAATGTGCACCTTTGCCTACCCCTTCGGGAATACAAGGCGTGATGTTATATTATGATATGAAACAAACACTACTTTATTTACTTATCTTTATCATTTACCATTGAAATTTAAATTCAAGTTAAGATTTCCAGTTCATACCACACAGCCGCAAATTTTCCAAAAAGCCGATAACCCTCATACAACTTTAATTAGATTTATTCATTAACGTTTTAAAATGAAGATAAATCATTCTGTAATCTTCAAACTAATTAAGTTTAGCAAAGATTTTATCTCTTTATAATTACAGTTACCGGTAAAAAATGGGTCAATATTAACTACTGTATTATGTAACGGCATGATCATGAAAGATTATATTGAACTTGTAGTAAAAAATTAAGAAAAAAAGATAAGAATGGCTGTACTCATTTATGATTCCAATTCAATATTGTTTCATTGACTTGAGATATTGATAACTGAATGGGGATTTACACAAGAATTTGTAATTAATTATTCAGTCTTTGTTTCTGTGAGAGTGTTGTTTTATGAAGTTTTAAATTGTGATGGATGAGAATGATACCTTAGGTTCATTGCCCGGCTTAGGAACAGTTTTTTTTAAACGCTGCCCCTCACTAGGAGATTCTCTTGTGTTGTGGGTACGTTTAGGAACATACACGTTCATTACATGACACCCAGACCCGAAATAACAAATTGAGGATTATTGTATCACCCAATCTGTTGTTTCGGGCTGAAGAGTTGATCCGTGCGGGAATCTAATACGCTACACGTTGAGTCAGAGTGTTATTGGATTTTTAATAATGAACTTGTCAGCGAGTGTACTGGACCCTGAATTTTGTTATAGACTTTATTAGATACACAAAGTCACACACACACACACACCGTTTGAGTACCGTCATTATAGACACAATTAAAGAACAATAGGTTGCGGTCACCGGTGTCCTCGCGGTGTTTGACAGTTTAAAGGGAAGAAATTCAGACTCGGATTAAAAAGACCTCAATATCACTGACCTTCTCGAGGATCGAAACCGAGACCACTTACTACAGACCACATGTAATAATAGACTTACAATTAGTGCTCAAAACACAAGACACATTTCAAAATATCCCCCAGCCGAGTAACACTTTTGAAGTCATGTCTCCTCATGAATGATATCTGTTGCAGGTTTGACACACGAGTGCGGAGTCTTCGGCGCCATCAGCACTGGGGACTGGCCCACTCAGGTCGACATCCCACAGGTCATATGTCTAGGATTAGTCGCACTGCAACACAGGTAAGAATAATCTTTTATTAGCAACTAGCTTCTGCCCGCGACTTCATACCCGTAATCCCATTTTTTCCCGTCCCCGTTCGTGATATTCGGTAAAAAGTAAAAAAAAAAAAATCGGTTAAAACGTATCCTATGTCGGTCTCCTGGCTCTAAGCTACCTCCATACCAATTTTCAGCCAAACCTATTCTGCCATTCTCGAGTTATAACTGGTGTAACTAACACGACTTTCTTTTATATATATATAGATTAATTCCTCGTACATCCAGATATACCTAATCAACGACAACCAGTTCTAACGATATAATTTTTTTTCTTATTTTGGAGCCAGGGAGTCTAATAATGCTAGGGGTATAAGCATTGTGGGTTACCGGGACTTCGGCTTGAAGCAAGAACGGGGTTTTTTAGTTAGTAAGAATTTGACACTCCCTCCCGCCTCACCCAGGCGGGAGCAGACATTCGATGATTTTGCTCCCTTAAAAAAAACCCAAGGCGGTCGAAGTCACTTAATCATTGCCCTTCCCCCAAAATACCCCACCAACTTATCAATGGAATACCCTAAGTTCGTCATTATGGCATAGTTAAACAATGACATTTTATAGATCGGCTACACCTTAACTTGTTAACGAACAAAACACAACGACGAGAGGAAGTACAGAATTTAATATACCAAGAATTGTATGTGAATGTTTTTACTTACATTGGTTACATGGTACAGGACAATAGTAACCCTTGTTTCACTGCTTAATATATTGGCTGTAGTAGGCTCGTTATGATAAGCCCCCTATGTATGTCTATTTCGAGAATTCGGGGGAGAACCCGTATTGGTACCTAGTTACCATAGTACTAGGCTTTGTATCGACTGTGTACATAATGTAGTACAATGCCCCCTTTATATATGTACAGTGATATGAACTTTATTTTTGAAAGAGTAAGGTTCACTTTAAATTGAAATAAAATTTCTTTGCTTTGCTTATTAAGGTCTAGAACTATTATCATAATTTTTACACCAACGAATATTGTATAATTAAAAATATTTTGATTTTCTCAGAGGACAAGAGTCAGCGGGTATCGTGACGTCAGAGGGTAAGAGTGCGCGTACGTTTAACACACACAAAGGAATGGGTCTCGTCAACAATATATTTAATGATGAAGCCATGAAGAAACTCAAAGGGAACCTCGGCATTGGACATACTCGGTGAGTTTGTACTCCATTTATTGTTTAATCTCGAATATAAGGAATGACTATTTGACTGAGAGCACTCAGTTTAGCTGCTTTGGATCATGCCGGTCATAAAGTTAAAAATCTATCATTCTGTTACACCTCTACAAATACACAAGAGAGCATGAGGTATTTTTTATATTTGATGGGCCGACGTTTGACCACTATCTCGCCTGGTGGTAAGCGATGATGCGGTCTACGATGGAACACGTCGTCCCATAAGCAACCTATTCACTCGGGCCTTGAAGACAACCAGGTCACTATCTGCTCTATCCGTGTCTTTATTAGTCGTCCTCTTATCGATCATTCTTTACTTTTTATCTCCTAACACATTCCGTTATATGTCCATCCAGGTACTCGACATCGGCCGCGTCGGAGGAGGTGAACTGCCAGCCCTTCGTAGTCCACACCGCGCACGGGGCACTCGCCGTCGCTCACAATGGAGAACTTGTCAACTGCAGCAGTCTTAGGAAGATGGTAACTTGATGTTATATTTTTCCTATTCATAGGTGCATAAAGAAAAATATAACCTGCTTTTCAGTCTGTTCAAAAGATTATAAATAATAATCATTTTAATTTTAATATTTGCATAAAAGTATTACCCTGTACAGTGTAGTGCAACCGTTTACAAAATGTTATGCTTAGAAAATCTTTTAAAATACCCCTTTTTTGAGGGGGAAAATCATCGAATGATTTCTCCTGCCTAGGGTGAGGCGAGAGGGAGTGTCAGACTCTTACTGACTTAAAACTACACCGATCTTACTTCTGATCTTCGATCCGGAGTCCCAACAGCCCGTTAATTCCTCCGCGGCTATGAAATACGCTTACGAAATCGGATTATAATACATATTATTTATTATTCTAGGTGTTAGGTCGTGGAGTAGGTCTGTCAACTCACTCGGACTCGGAGCTGATCACACAAGCACTGTGCCTCAACCCACCCGAGGGGGAGACCAACGGACCCGACTGGCCTGCGCGTATTAACCATCTTATGAGGTAAATATACTTCACAGTACTAAATAGACATATTATTTATGTTCAGAGACAAAATGGGCGTATATGATTGACTTTCTATTTATAAGAGAGCAAATTCGTTTTAATACCAACTCAAACTTCACCCAACTATAATTCAAACCGCTTGCAAAAAATAGCGGATGTCATCACTATTCAAAGAATGAATGTGTAAAGTCAAAGTCAAAATCATTTATTTCAATTAGACCAGGAAAGCACTTTTGAACGTCAACAACGAAAATCCTGATTAAATGCTTCAATAGGATAAAACAGGAATCATATTCTAAGCGAAGTCGCGGGCAACAGCGAGTAGTTAATAATGTATCTTCATAATTACAGGCTGGCACCCCTAAGTTACTCCCTGGTTATAATGCTGAAGGACAAGATCTACGCAGTCCGCGACCCCTACGGTAACCGACCGCTCTGTCTCGGCAAGATCCTGCCTCTTGGCTCTTCATGTAAGTCTTATAACATAATTATATGAAGTGGAAACATTATAATAATTCACATGGTAATAAAAAAGATTATGAATGGGTTCTTAACAATTTTGTAAAGGTGGGATGACATTTTTTGTGAACCTGGGCCTTTAGCCAAACGCCACTTTAGCGCTTGTCTACATAGAGAGTAGAAATCTAAATGTATAGGGATGACACTGAAAGTGTCAAAATTTACGTCAATCCCATATAATTTGTTTTTTCTATTCTACAAGTAGATAAGCGCTAAATGGCATTTGGCTACAGCTGTAGGTTTTAACTAATACCAGAGTTTCTAGTAGAACTCAATTTTGCTAAAGAGGTTGGCATGTAGTCTACTTGAATACAATAGTACTTCATCCATATCTTGTTAAGAATAATAACTTATAGAAATATTTTTATCTTGTCTGCTGCAAAATAAGGAAGGTTGCATGTAAGTACATGGGTGCACTGCATTGTGTTCCATTCTTCATGATTGATGGTATGATCACAACGCAAGTATTAATAATGAACACATTTTACCATTAATGGATTTATTTAGTGCCTGCCTCATTGGCCGAGTGGTTGCAACTGCGATTCCTGTATCGGACAAAGTATTACTGATATATGGCAATAGGCTCACCCCCTATTACATGGGACTCGTAACATAAATAGTAAAAAGGGAGTGTTACATTGTACAGTGGCATGTGCCGTAATATGCACCTCTGCCTACCTCTTTGTGGATAAAAGGTGTGATGTTATGGATATATTTATTCTCATATGTACAAAATAATGTATCCATACAGTAAAACAAATCTTTTGTTATGATCATGACACTGATGTTTCTCCTTTAATTTCAAAAGATACATTGTTTTGCATGAGTAACTAGAAAAAATTAAGCGCACCAAGCAACGTTCGTCTCTATGAAAATGACTCTTTAACTTCAGAGACGTAAGATGTAACTGAGTGCGCGTCCATATCTAACGGTGTCCACTAAACATTTCCAGATGTCTACAAACAGTCGTCGGCGCAGCATGCCGCGGGTAATGCATGACACACTTCATTATTACTTAACCATAGTTAATCATAATTATTCATACACCATTTTACATAAACCTTAGTGGATTTGGATGCTATTTTAAATGGATAATCTTGTACTTATTGTAAATACGATAAATAAAAAAAACATTATAATTATGGGCATGACCTTGAAAGGAAATGCAAACATACACAAAAGACTTTTGAAAGAAATTTTGTTATAATACCATGTATCCGTACATGGTGTAGAAATATTTACATTGCACTGTGCAATTTCAAAATCGAAATACCCAATTATATTTTGCATTGATCCACCATTGGCTTCGTTTTGTGTGTACCTGTATTCTTGTCTACGTGTGTCGTGGCGTAATAAATCTTTTTTCTTTCTATACGGGCCTTTAGCCAAACGCCACTTTAGCGATTGTCTACAGAGAGAGTAGAAATCAAAATGTATGGGGATGACACTGAAAGTGTCAAAATTTACGTCAATTCCATATAATTTGGTTTTCTATTCTACATGTAGACAAGCGCTAAATGGCATTTGACTACAGCTGCTGAATAGAAACTTGAGTTTTTCATATTATTATTAAGGTCAATGAAGTGGTACTTATAAATTACTTAGTACTAAGTGCATTTTGTTTTCATAATTTCATTTACTTGTGTTTTTGATACTACATGTAATGGGGTGACGCAATACTTAATTTACATTACATTTGCATGATAATAATAGTAAGAGTACGTTGCACAAATAATGTCATAACAAATGGGTGCACTGCACATATTGATAACTGTTGAACTAATTAAGAAAATTAACAATTGCAACATACAATGGTGCTCATTATAATATATGAAATAATACTAAACACAAAGTCATTATTAGTATCTTTCATTCTTTTTAGAAATTCATAGGATTTCATTTTTTAAATATAATTTAAACAAATATTAGAACAATAAAATGTGTTGCTCAGTTGCTGTCATAGCAGCAAAACAGATAAAGTTTCTGATCTGTTGATGTTTTATGTAATTAATAATATTTATATTTCCAACAGTTTTAATGAACGGTTGTGCGAAGAACGGCGTGGACGACAGAGCTGAAGGATGGGTGGTGTCCTCCGAGTCCTGTGGATTCCTCTCTATCGGTGAGTAAAGTAACATTTAAAAATAAAAACAATCTACCACGAATGAATATGCTGAAATATAGCATTGCTCGCGTGTATTAAGTAGATCCTTCGTTATAATGTATAGAAAATTGATTTTTATTTTCTTAATTTTTGAGCAATACTGACTAGAATATGTCTACTGTTTGTAATAACAAGAATTAAGATTATTTTAAAAATATTTAATATACAGTTTTCGGCTATTAATCGTTGGTTTTGTCCCTTATAGGTGCTCGTTATGTTCGTGAAGTGTTGCCAGGAGAGATAATAGAAATGTCCCGGCACGGGATTAGAACAGTGGATGTAGTGGAGAGACCTGCCGACAAACAACAAGCTTTCTGCATATTTGAATACGTATACTTCGCGAGGGCAGACAGTATCTTTGAAGGTAAGGGTCATTTGTATTAAAAATAATCATCAGCGTAATAAATATAGTTTGACAAATCAACAAAAACATTCTTTTGGTGATCATCCAAAATATTTTTATAGCGAACTTTGGCATTAATTATTATGTTTTCGGTTTACTGTTTGATGAGGAATGCTGGCTGCTCCTCTAGCATAGCTTGAAACTAGTGGAGTTCCTCGTTAAACAGTTACGTGTTTTAATTTAGTACGTCTTTATAATACAAACTTTGCCATGTTTGTTTTTTTTTGTATTGTAACTTTGTTTGACATACTAAATCAATTATTATGTTTTCGGCTTACTCACGTAGTAATTTGACAAGGAACTCGACTAGTTTCTCATGAATATGAGCCTCTAGCATGGCTTGAAACTAGTCGAGTTCCTTGTCAAATTACTACGTGAGTAAGCCGAAAACATAATAATTTATGTTTGCGTTTTATGTCAAATTCTTTTATGTGCACAAAAACCACAATGTATGAATGTGTCACTGTTTTACTTTTACCGTTTAGAAACGAAATATTGTTGGGATATGAAACTAATTATAAGAAAGTCTCTCAAGGAGCCTTGCAGAACCCACCCTGTAGAAGTGTCTATAGACAATCAAAGTGCAGTGGCATTAAGTGCCGTAATGTGTAGCTCCGCCTAAATCGGGGATAAAAGGCGTGATGTTGTGTTATGTAACAAAGTAGTTAGTAGGTCGTAATAATAGTAATTAAAATATTAACATTATACGTCCCTCCTACAGGTCAGATGGTATACTCAGCGCGCATGCAGTGCGGGCGCATGTTGGCGCGCGAGTCTGCCGTGGACGCCGACATCGTGTCCTCCGTGCCCGAGTCCGGCACTGCCGCCGCGCACGGATACGCGCGACAGGTACATAGTAATTTAATCCCTATGTCTATTATTATGAGTAGCATGTCACAATTTCTCAACCACTCCTGTAATAATCTATGACCGAAATTATTAATCGGGCTCAATCCAAATGTTTGGATCGGATATTAATTTCTGTCGTAAATGAATTGAGGCGTAGTGAATTTATTGTATGTTAAAAAGTTGTGCAGCAATGAATCCCTCAAAAGAAACAACTATATATTAACTAATTGGTATTGTCGTTGTTTTTGTAACTGTAAATGCCTACTGCATTAAGTCCACCTTATGTACACTTTGTGCATGAAGCTTAAATAAATAAATGTATGCTGTTTTATAGAAAATCTAGCTTTTACCCGCGGCTTCGCTCGCGTCACAAAAGGATAAAAAGTAGCCTATGTGACATATACCAATACATACAGCGCCATCTATACCAATACTTTTGTATAGATGGTGATGATACTATCAAATTTTTCCGGGTTATAAAGTACCCTATTATTTAATCCGGACTTCTAACTTTACGTCTGCAAAAATTCAAAGCAATCGGTTTAGTAGTTACGGCGTGAAAGTGGAACAAACAAACACACTTTCCGATTTATAATATTAGTAAGAATATATACAAAGTAATTAAATTCTTATATTACCTTTCAGTCCGGCATTCCCTTCATGGAAGTCCTCTGCAAGAACCGTTACGTAGGTCGCACCTTCATCCAGCCCTCCACCCGCCTCCGTCAGCTCGGTGTTGCCAAGAAGTTCGGCGCACTCTCGGAGAACGTGCGAGGGAAGAGGATCGTACTCATTGACGACTCCATCGTCAGAGGAAACACTATCGGACCTATTATTAAACTGCTGAGAGATGCGGGAGCCGCTGAGGTTAGTAAAATAAATGCATAACTTTTATTAAGTCTAGTACATGGTTTTTAGTAGGTATGTGAAAGAGAGAAAAAAAGTACATGTTATTGTGGTATCTAGTTTTCATCAATTATAAGTTATACATAATAAATGCCAGCTTATTGCCCAACAACAGGCTTTCTTATAATTATCATGTTACTGATAAAATAATAGATAAAATCGAAATCTTTACCTATAATACTTTGTCTGATTTTAAGAATCCTAAATTAGAGAACTGTAAATTGATATTTTAGCTAGGGTGTTGGTGACTAGAAAGGTCTAAAAGTCTCTCATATAACTAAGTATATTGTATAAATATCCAGGTACACATAAGGATAGCATCTCCTCCACTGAAATACCCTTGCTACATGGGCATCAACATCCCCACGCGGGAGGAACTCATCGCCAACAAGATGGACTCCTTCAAACTCGCTGAGCATGTTGGTAAGTAGAGTTTCTATTATTACCAGAATATGGCGAAACCAAAAGGAGAGTTTTGCCCTGCAGTACATAATAATGGCATGCGACCACGTCTAAACTCTAAGAAATTTTTATTGTTTGATTTTGTAGGGTTGTAGTATTTTTGTTCTATAATTTTTAAAGTTTCTAGAGCTTCAAAGCCTCTTTTAAATTATCAACTATTCTATTTGTGAGATGATCATTGCTTGATTTTTTATTTTTCTCGTATACTGCACATAATAAGGACATATAAGATACGAGGGTTTAATTTTAAATCTTAACGATTTTACTAATTTTGGTACTTACAAGGTTGTAGAAAACATTATACATAAGCCAGCTACTGTAAACTAATAAAAATTTAACCTTTTGGCATACATAGAAACTGAAATATTTAATTACTACAACAACTTTCAACAAGTAATCAAAAATTACCCTTATTCCCAGGTGCGGACAGTCTAGAATACTTAAGCGTAGAAGGCCTAGTGTCGGCAGTGCACTACAATATGAAGACTAATCCCAACGATGGACTCGGAGGCCACTGTACTGCCTGCCTCACTGGGGAGTACCCCGGGGGAGTGCCGGACGACGACTGGTGAATGTAAACGATCTGCTGCATGGTGATTGGTGATGAATGAATGGTGATTTGCACGATTCGATTTTCTTTTTATTTAGTTTTTCCGTGAATGTAGATGGTTTCTGCGCCCCAAATTTTGTTATAGTAACAAGTTATTTTATATTTTATAGACATTTGTAAAAAGGATTAAAAATGTCCTCTCCTTACTATTTGAAAAAAATATTACATAATTTCTAGAATGTGTACTCAAAACACATTTTGTTGTACAAAAATAAGCCTCAAAAATCGATATTAAGTAGTAACCTTCAACTCTAAAAAAACTGTTTATATTCACGTAAGAATAAAAGTATTGTATACAGAAGCTAAAACAACATTGTGTTTGTTTGTAAATTGTAACTAAACGGAGTAAAACTTACAATAAAATTATTGTAAAAGATATTCTTTAAAGTACTATTTTGCATTTGTATGGGGTATATATGGAATGGAACATCTGTTTTAACTTACAAAGTAGATTGTAATCTAATTTACTATAGGTACTTTATTTACTGAATATTTTTTTAAATATATTTTTAAAATTGTCGAATATTACTATAAAATGTAATTTATGAAGTTTTGTTAGGGTTAGGTATGCCGTTAGTGCCTTATGTTTTTATTTTGGCTACCTTTTGGAGATGAATGTCGTAGATTTTTAATAATAGTGCAGTGTAATGAAGGATTTTTAATAACAGTACAGTATAATGGAGAATTTTTCCTATACTTTCAATTTATTGAAGAAAACAATAAATAAAATAATAAATAAATAAATAAAATATATTATAAGCTAAAATGGCTTGGGTCATTCTCAAAAAAACCTATTTAATAATTTTGATACTACATACTAAGATTTTTAATCAAATACGTTATTGGAAATTATTATAAATCTATGGTGAAAAGTCTCCATCAAAAAAATCTTCAAACATTCTCAAATAATTGTGCATTTCATTCGAATTATACCTCGAATTTTAGTAATAAATTATATTTAGAGCAACGTCGTGCTGGCTACGACGATATTTTACTAATTTTAATTCTACGCTATCAATTTATAGATTAAGTAGATATTTTTTATTAAAAAGAAAAACTATATTTTTCAAAACATTCCTATGGATAGACACATATTCTTTATATTTTATGGAAAAACGTAAAATAAATTATAGTTTTTTTTATTATTGGATTGATTTTGAGTCCAAAATCTTAATCGATATTTTCGTACGAATATATCAGTTTTCATGATAAAAATTCTCGAATCCAATTTATTTACAATAAGTAGTTAAATAAGATCTTTGTCCTTTTAACTATAAGTTAGATTATTGTTAAAATGGGGACCAATATATTTCTATATTACAAAAAATTCGTCACATTGTTAAAAGACACGATGATACTGTAATTCTAAGACTATGTGTAATGTTCCTAAGCAAATAAAAAAAAATACAAAAAAAAAACATACAGTGGACCTCACTAAACGTGAAGGAACTGAGGTCATATTGTCTAAGTACTGTTTTAAAAGAAAAAAAAGAATCAATGTAAAAAATTATCGAGAATTGTAACTGTACTTTACATAAATGTTTTTTCTACACGCCTGTTGTTTTATTGACATTAAATTACTTATACAAATATTAAAACTTTCATGAGACATACTAAATTAATTATTATGTTTTCGGCTTACTTACGCAACTGTTAGACGTGGAACTCAACGAGGTTTGACGAGGAACAAGTTTTGAGATAAGACCTATGCTAGAAGCTCATATTCAGGAGCAGCATTCTGCGACCCGCGACGCGGCGACTGTCGCACGAATCGAAACAGTTACGTGAGTAAGATGAACACATAATCTTTATAAATAAAAATGAATTTCCGTTCGTTAGTCTCGCTAAAACTCCATAACGGCTAAACCGATTTGGTTAATTTTGGTCTTTAATTACACGTGGAAAAGTTCAAGAAATGTTTAAAAGATGATAAAATAGTTTTTGAAGCGGTACGAAGTTTGCTAGGCCAGCTAGTAATGTATATAAATAAGAATGAATTTCCGTTCGTTAGTCTCGCCAAAACTTTAGAACGGTTGAACCGATTTGGTTAATTTTGGTCTTGAAATATTCGTGGAAGTGCAGGGAAGGTATAAAATGTGAGAAAAAATTTCAGAGTCAGCTGTTAGCTACACAGTTAGCTGTACAAATATTTCGCCAACTTCCATTAGGATTACGTACCTTGAGGTCAAGAAACTGCCTTAACAAAGACAAAGATAATTAAGTTTCTAAATTCAAATCTAAAGACGCTCGAATCATCTTTTCGATATTTGAATCAAAGTTCTGTAGAAAAAGACAGTACATAAATGTCGCATCGCAGCAAGACAATAAAATTAAAATAAATAAAAATTAATATTTATCAAATTATTTGATGAATATTATAACAACTGTAGTTTACGGTACCCGATATTGTTGTAGGTCTGATTTTGAGTGTTAAATTGTGTACGATTGGTTATACGTACATTACCTACGTGTTTGTACACGTTTGCGTATTTATCAAACTTTTGTGATGTGGACCTAATTGAATATCGTACTGATAGTGTTGTATACAGCTTTTATTGTTACTGCAATGTAACAGGAGGTCTGTGAGAAAATATCTGCATATGGAGCTATATGGCATGGTAAGTTCTAAATCATGATTTATACGTCCAAGTTTTTGTATATAATGTATGTAATAGGGTAGTACACAGTAATGAAAATTAAAAATGTAATTAGTCCGTCAGTTATATAATGAAAAAATATTAGATACATGTTTTTATTTATTTTGTCGTATAAGAAAATAATACTTAGATAAAACGAAGTTAAGTATAGGAGTGGCAGGTCGGTACGTCACGCTACCCTATAAAATATAGTAAATCGTGACGTCACACGATATTTCAAATCAATATAGGTATAGTCGAAATTATTTAATTTTGTAAGAAAAGAAAACACGTGTCTAATGTTTTAAAATAATCTACCAGATGGACATTGAAATAAAATTTAGGAAACTACCCTATTGAGTGATTATTAGTTACATTTCTAAGGTAAAAATAATACACATGAAATACGCAATTCAACAATTTTATTTACAATTTGTTTAAAAAAGGAACATGTTTGGTACTTGTCTATACAACTTTGTGTAAGTTAAATTTCACAACTCACAATAAAATGCGACTTTATGCCGTTATAAATAAGGGTGATTTTCCCAATGTTTACAAACTATTACAATTATTATTGTACATACATTTGCGCTATAATTTCATGGACTCAATCATTGTGTGACAAAGTAACGAAACTATTTGAACTTATTGCTGTTTGTTGCGATATAAATATTTAATTTATTTTGTAATAATTTACCATGTATTATGCAACTATATACATGCATATTAATTAGCTTCGCCCGCACAGATATTGTCAATCAATCCCATATACATAATTTCTATACAAATTGATTTCGGATTCAATCGATCATCAGTCTACCAAAAGTTGTTATAAATAATTCGGATTGTTACTAAATAAAACCTATGAATCTCGATATGAGGCTCGATTATTGTTTTACAAAATTTAAGTTTAACTGAATGTTTAGATCATTTTTTCGCATCCGACATTAAATATCTAAAGATTGATAACTGGAATGGCCAATTAATGGCAATTTTTCCCTACATTTTACTACAATTTAGGGTAAAGCTATATTCAAGACAATAACAAATCTTATTTAAAGTTGTTCCAATCACTAAGTTTAGGCTGGAATTAAGAATAAATTAATTTCACTAATACTTATTTTTTGGATGATAAATGAACAGAAAATGAATATTACGCGAGATATTTTTAACTGACTTCAAAAGTAGTTTGTTTTTTCAATTAGATTTCTTTCAGAAAGTGATTGTTACATTTTTACAGGTTTTAGAATATTAATTAACCGACTTCAAAAAAAGAAGTCGAAGTCGGTTTTTTTATCGTAGTTTATAATTATTTTTTAAACTTTAATGTACACATAAACAAGTAATGGTACATAAGGCGGACATGAATGCCAGTTTTTTTTTAAACTTTGCTCCACATAAAGATTTTCTCCCGTGTCGTGGGTGCGTTTACAAACAAACAAGTTCACATACACAATGACACACAGACCAGAAACAACAATTTGTGGATCACACAAACTGTTGTTCCGTGCGGGAATCGAACCCACGATACGTTGCACGGCAGCCGGTTGCCCAGCTACCGCACCAACCGTGCAGTTGTCACCAATAGTGATATTGTATGGCAGATAGCAAGATACCAGTCGCAGTATAAAGAACTGACGAAATTCAGATGAATATTTCAGTCAGTATAGAATAGAATAAGAGAAGGAACTTGATTGGGTCAATTTTAAATAAAATAAGTTATATAAAGATATTTCAAAAGTTACCATAAACTAGGTATTTTTATCTAGTCTAGGTCTGTGTAGTCCTAAAACCGCCTTGTGAGTCAGTCTAGGCTTTTTAGGAGTAGAAAACAAGTAAATGGATTACTTAATGCCAAGTGATTTTCATTCATGGACATTGGCAACACTAGACGACAACGTTGCCAGCCTTTAAACTGTCAAACACCGAGCGGTCACTGGTGACCGCAACCTATTGTTCTTTAATTGTGTCTATAATGACGGTACTCAAAGTTAAAAACAAAAGGCTATAAGTTAAAGGGTATGTTTGCCAACAATAGCCTCAATATCGGCTACTTCTTTGACACAATCTTCTGTCAACACTACTGGCTCTTTATCAGTGATGAGTACGTCATCTTCCACGCGGATGCCGACGCCTCTGAACTCTTTGGGGACTGTCGTATCGTCTGGTCTGATGTAGATTCCTGGAATTATAAAGTTTAATATTATAATTGCCTCGTTGGCCGAGTGATCGCAAGTACGACTGCCGTCAAGGTTTCGATTCCTGGGTTGGGCAAAGTTTAGAAAAAATCTCAGTAGTAGCACGGAGTCTGAAATTGTGCCCGGTAGGCTCACCCTCTATTACATTTTTTTTCTTTTAAAACGTTGCCCACATTGGACTTTTTTGGACTGGACACACATTGGACTCATAACATGAATAGTGAAAAGTGGGTGTTACATTTCCAGTGGCATTAAGTGCCGTAATGTGCACCTCTGCCTACCCCTTTAGGGATAAAAGACGTGATGTAATATTATGCCATTTTCCTAATTTTGTTGTAATTGCTATGAAAGCAGCAACATGAGTGTGACAGCGTTCTCTTCCCTCACGAACCTTCGGACCTTAACGAGTTTATCACTCGTGTTTATTACATTGTTGCTTCTCACACCGCTCCTTATACAGGAGAGAACAAGTTTTTGTTTATGAATTAAAGGAAGAAAAGGAAACATTCCTATGACATGCCCTATTGGTGAATAAATGTTATTATACTATAAATTATTACCTAACTGACAAATCCCTGCTACAATATTCTATACCAGAATCATGACGTGTTCAGTATTACCTATTGTACTTATTTTACTAAATAAATCATAATAAATATTTGACATAAGCATTTATTGACATGACATATGTAATTTATCTAATAATTTCTTGTTTTATTATATAATTAACTTATTTGAACATTAATATTGTACCCAACTATTGTACGCCCAATGGGCAGGACACAGCTGAGCTCAACCAAATTATGATAACAACTGTATTATGTATCTACCTGTGATCTACAATGAATACATGAATTTGAATTTGAAATACTATAATATAAATAAAAATTGCAGGTTACTCAAGTGAAAATACTGAGAAAAGCTCTACTAGTTTCGAACCACAGAGGGGTTCTTCCTTATGAGCAGCGTGCGCGGTCGCGGCGATGTCGCGTAGCATACGAAACTAGTAGAGCTTTTCTCAGTATATTCACGTTCGTGACCCGCGATTTTTAGTTAATTTAGTATGTCATATGTGTCACGATAGTTATTATAAAAACAAAATTAAGGAAGTTTAAAGAGCTTAGTAAAGGCACAATGATCAACATGACATTTTTTATTGTGACAAGCCCGCCACAACCTCCCAAAACCGTTACAACTCCTGTAAGCCAGGATCTACAATAGATACAACCATGAAACACCGGAACATTGAAGTCCGGCGGCGCGTCCCAGGGACATGAGTAACTGTCTTGGTTCCAGCAACGAAGTGAATCAGAAGATATTATAAGAGGAGAAGAAGAAAAAATAAAATGATCAAGATGAAAGTTTAGTACCAGGTTCCACAGTGACGATCATGTTGGTGCAGACGGGGATGTTCCGCCGCACGAGCGGCGCGTCGTGCACGTCCAGCCCGAGGTAGTGCGACACGTGGTGCGGACACAGCCGGTACGCGCGCTGCGGACATACGTACTGCGTCACGCGGGGGACCATCAAGAGACAGTACAGTCCACAGATATAGATAAGACTATATCTGTGGACAGTACTGTCATTGCAAAGGAGGAGTTAATTATTATTGACAGTATTGCCATAAAGAAAAATCGGTTAATAATCATTGAATGTAGAGCGTACACGAAAGATCTTCGTCATAGGAAACCAACGTGAAACAAGTGCACTGTTTCAAGTGAGGTTACCGTAGGCCCACCTACCTTCTCCGCAATTTCGCCAATCCCCAATAATCCTCAAATTCCTAACCCACAAAAAATTGGCAACGCACTTGTAACGCCTGCGCCGATTGCTTACCATCAGGTGATCTGTCAACTTGATTACCCATCCCATAATTGTTTTATTTATTTATTTGTATCAGACAAAGAAGGCCCATATTAAAATACAATAATACTATAACATACAATTTTAACTTAAAATACATAATGTAAGTAATAAAAAACACTAATTATCACGACTATTGTGCTGTGTCGGCAAAAAATGATATTAGAAAACTTAACCTTTAAAGATTAGATTATTAATAAACCCCTCACCGCGAACAGTTCTTGTCCCTCCAATGTCTTAGATATGATCCCCTCCTCCTTCAGGTGCTTGCCCAGCAACCGACACATACTGTCGAACAACTTGTCCAGCGCTGGACGCTGCTCGCCCAGCAACTCTATTAGACGTTTCTGGAAAATAGAGTTAGGTTTAAAATTATAGTTATAGCTAGCACATTTGCAATAAGGTAGTTGCCAGAAAATGAAAATTTAAAATCTAATTAGTCTGTGAGTTACAGAATGAAAAAATATTAGACACGTATTTTTTAGGTTCTCGTATATAGTTACAATACTTAGATAAAATGGAGTTAAGAGTGGGTTAGGATCGGAAGGTCGTTACGTCACAAAGTGCTGCATGACGTCACACGATATTTCAGATTAACTCGTCGAGTACCGTATTTATAGACACAATTAAACTGTCAAACACCAAGCGGTCACCGGTGACCGCGACCTATTGTTCTTTAATTGTGTCTATAAAACCGGTACTCGACGAGTTAAAGAACAATAGGTTGCGGTCACCGGTGACCGCTTGGTGTTTGACAGTTTAATATGTCGTCGAAAGTATTTAATTTTGTGAGAAATAAAAATACGTGTCTTATGTTTTAAATTAATCTACCAGACGGACATTAAAATAAAATTCAGGCAACTACCCTATACTTTTGATGTAGTGAGTGTCACAAAGGAATTACCTGTACAGTGAGCACGAGTTCGTATAGTATCCGGTGGTGCTTGGAGAATTTCCCCGCCACCGGCCACGTGCGAGATATGTCCGAGTTGTACATCCAGTGCTGGCTGCCTGCAACATACAACTTGCTCAGCCCGTTGAAAATCACCCCCTAAATTTGTTCATGCAAAAGTAGTTTCTATACATTGGAAATAAGGTCTATAATGTAGTTAGGGGAGAGCGGTCAACGGTGACCGCTTGGGGATATATGGGAGATAGAAACCATCGACTTATGGCTAAAAGAACTGATCTCAGTTATCTCTGGATCAATGTGTATGTAAGTTTTTGACAGAAATTACATTTTAACATAACATAACATTACGCCTTTTATCCCCGGAGGGGTAGGCAGAGATGCACATTACGGCACTTAATGCCACTGTACAATGTAACACCCACTTTTCACTATTTATGTCATGAGTCCCATGTGATAGGAGGTGAGCCTATTGGCATATACTGGGCACATTTCCAGACTCCGTGCTACTACTGGGATTTTTAAAAAACCCAGTAATACTTTGCCCGACCCGGGAATCGAATCTATCTTAATCCACACAAATAAGATTGATAATGTTTATTACCTAATTTCGGGCATTGAATTAATCATTGGTATAGTTATAGTTGCTTAAATGTCAGCCCATGTTTACCTTTCTTTTCGTTTATTAACAAATTTTTCTGAATGCTTATTTACCAAAATATTTAATTTAGAATCAACACTTAAATTATGTATTTTCCTTCTATTCACCCTTTTCATACAAAAGTAGTCTCTAAGTATCGGAAATAAGATCGAAAATCATTTAAGCTCATTGTAAGTGAACCATGTTTTTTTTTATTGCATAAGTCGGTAAACGAGCAGACGGATCACCGGACGGATTAATGGTAAGCAATCGGCGTCGCCCATGGACACCTGGAACACCAAGGCGTTACAAGTGCGTTACCGGCCTTTTGATCATTGGGAATTTGAGGATTGTGTAGGATTCGGGTATTCGGGAGACTAGGGAGGGGGGTAATTGGGCCTCCAGTAACCTCACTCAAACGACGAAATACAACGCAAGCGTTGCTTCACGTCGGTTTTCTGTGAGGCCGTGGTATCACTTCGGTCGAGCCGGTAAATTCGTGCCGAAGCATGGCTCTCCCACACTTAAAAATATTCTTTATGAGTGAATAAATAATCATTAAACTGTCAAACACTGCGAGGATACCGGTGACCGCAACCTATTGTTCTTTAATTGTGTCTATAATGACGGTACTCAAAGGGTTAAACTTATAATGGAGTATGTGAGGAGACCTCTTGGGGACTCTGCAGTTACCTAAGATAATACCTCATCATCATATAGGTATATAATGATGAGGTATGAGAATACGTCTATAGTTCTATACTTTACCAGAGTCAACCAATATCATCTCATTAGCGTTGAGCAGTTGGTTGTTGGCCACGTAGTGTATGTGTGTAGCCCGGGCTCCGCCGGCCACGACGGGCGGGAAGGCGAGGTGCTCCGCCCCGCCCTGCTTGCACGAGTACTCCAGCACTGCGTTCACCATGTGCTCGGATATACCTGGTGATTTAACAAAATAGGATATGAATAATATAGTGAAACAAGTGAATTTATTTCTGCAAATAGGCTACAAGGCAGCACTTTTACACGTCAATTTTGTCAAGCGAACGATGAGGTCGACATTTCCTAACTGACTACTCTGAGAAGAAATGCCGAAACAAACTCAGAGGTCAATAAAATTGACTGCCTTGTTGGCCGAGTGGTCGCAAGTGCAGCTGCTGGGCAAGAGGTTTCGGGTTCGATTACCGGGTCGTGCAAAGTATTACTGGGTTTTTAAAAAAAAACTCAGTACGGAGTCCGGAATTGTGCCCGGTATATATGGTAATAGGCTCACCCCTATTACATAAGGCTCATAACATAGATAGTGAAAAGTGGGTGTTACATTGTACAGTGGCATTAAGTGCCGTAATGTGTACCTATGTCTACCACATTATATGTTATTAAAAAACTTCCTTTCACTAAAAATGTTACTTGTCGATTCTCTTTAGGCCCCGACGGCACTAGGACAGAACCGCCGTGGTTTTTAACCGCGTAACCAAGAGTAAGAAACCAATTACAAATTTACAATTAGCCGCAGTCGTGGTTTTGTTCTGCGTCCAATTTTCATTACAATTAAATGTTACCAGTTTCGCTCTTGTACATTTTAAGTAGATAATAATTTGCCATAGGAGATTAAAAATTATCTAAGTTTTGTAATAAACCTGACCTTTGATTGAGTTGCATTTAACATGATCACAAGCACACAACATTTAATCTTTCCTCCTTGACTTTGACTACAGAGTGGAAGCAAAAAATGAACCTCAAAATACACAGTTCCAACTCACCTGGCTTCGTACAAGCCATAGCCATATTAATGGACTGCGACCCAATATAACAGGTTTCCTTCATGAGCTCGATCTCCGCTGGGGACTTTATGACCCTCATAAAGTGTAAGGCTCGCTTAGGGTCTGAGAGGGTGATATTGACATCTCCTCTGAGGGTCCCTCTGACCGCGTTGTGTATATCAGGGTTGGCAGGCTCCTCATTATGGTACCAAAGTACCGCCGGCTTTGAATTTGTTGTGAGTCTGTAACACATACTACCTTTTTAAATCCTTATGTTTGTTTTGTTGGTGTTTAGATATTAGGAGTTGGGGGATGTTGAGTCTTTTAGTAGTATAAGTGTGTTCTGTAGTTTTATCTCTACTTATATAGAACTTGTAAGCAGGAAATATGTTTTCCCCATTTCCAGAATTAAGAAAATACCATTTCTGCTGACAGCCACTACGTCAGTCATGACTATGGGTCCCTTTCGCAGCTTGAAACTAATCGATCTCCCTCGTTGAAAAGTTCCATGAGCAAAGTAAGCCGTAGAATATAATGAAGTATATTTTGTTAAGTTTAACACATTTAAATATTTAATACTAAATGGACACTTACTTATTTAAATACGTGTTGAAGTTCTCGACGGGTCGACATTCATCCATGCAGAACAGTCGAGCTGCGGCTGTGCATCCCGTCCGAGGCCCCTCCCACAACTCTGCGTGTGCGTCCTTGTCGTGTACGAATAGAATGCTCTGGGTAGAAAAGAGATAGATGTAGTTTGAATAGTAGATCGTAGCGTAGCGTAGATCGTAGAGCGTAGATCTACGCGAGACACAATGCGTTTTCTATTGTGTCTCATATATTGACAGACAAGAGGTTAATAAACGAAAAATTCAGTATCAGATCCAACAATAGGGTAGTATAATTAATTAATTAGTATAATTTATTGTTAATTCTATCTGTATCCAATCATGGGGGTGACATTTTCTCTATTGAAAAAATATTATTTAAAAAATAATAATATAGATTAAAAAAAAAACAATAGGGTAGTATGCCAGGGTATCAAAATTAAAAATCTAATTAGTCCGTCGGTTAGACAATGAAAAAATATTAGACACATATTTTTTTATTTTCTCATATTAAGTTGCAATACTTAGATAAAATTGTGCTAAGTTTAGGAATGGTAGGTCGTGACGTCATAACGTGCTACAAAATGTGGCATGCTGTGACGTCACACGATATTTCAAATTAATATATCGTCGAAAGTATTTAATTTTGTGAAAAAAGATAAAATACGTGTCTAATATACCAGACGGACATTAAAATAAAATTTAGGAAACTACTCTATTATGCTAAAAAGGGCATGCTGTAATTTATTATTATTATTTGATATAATTTTATATTATATGTATGAAATAAAGTTAAGTTTTAATGAGTTCAAAATAACTTTTTGTTATCTACATATTTTGAAACAAACATAAAAAAAAAACTAGAAACAGTGCTCAATTATTTGAACTTTATTTGCAACATACCTTAAACTTGTCTGTTTGTGCAGGTTTCATTAACACTAATATTGCAGAAGGTTCTAAGCACCCGGTGAGGTAGAAGAAGTCAGAGTGCTGTCTGAATACATATGGGATTTTATCAGACATGTACTGTTTGCGAGCGGCTGGTATTACTACCTAAAATAAATAAATATTATTGATATAATAGTGCAATTAATTCCAAAATAAAAGAAAAAATACATTTTTTAAAAATATTTTGGGGCTTCGGCAATAAATTTTACGACAAAATCATTTCAATAAAAAATTCACCAAAAATGAAATATAATGCTTACAATGTGAGTATTGTGCATATTTTCAGATTCTGCAACTAATTTCGCAACAAGAGTTTCTCGCCTTTTTTTGTATTCAGCCTGTGTGACGCCCCATGTCAAATGTTCTTCCTTTATTAAATGTGGATGTGTGTGATATGTTGGCTGACCAAAAGTACCTTTAGGAATTACAAAAGGTATTTTATTTTTCTCAATTGTAGGGGTCTCTTGTGCACTCATACATCTAATTGTGTCTTGAAGATGCGGCTGTCTGAACAATTTCCTTCGCTCTTTGCTTGCTGTAATTAAAAAAAAAATAGAGTTAGAGTCCATAAGTTTTATTTTCTAAAATTAAAAAATTCAGAAATGAAATATAATTGTAAAGTGATTTAAAATACCTACGATAACCTTATTTGTGAATGATAAACAAAAATTATCGTTTATCATGCATGATGTACAACATAAACAACATCAAAAAACATATTTTGTAATCAACTTACTTTACATTTGCTAAGAATGGTTTAAAATTTATTTTAATTTGGAATTAAATTGATTAGTTTGACGTGAGGATAAATATAAATTATCCTTTTCCAAACCAATCGAAATAAATAATTTTATTATATTATTCCTGCTAAGAAATAAAGATAAACATAACCTATATTTTAATAAGTATAAGTTACCAGTATTTCCAACAAGCTTCCTCAGTTGCTGCATTTTGTATTAATTTAGTAAATGCAAGATAGATTTGATTTTATAATCCAATATCACGTTTTAAAAAAATATTTAGGTCACAGCAAAACAAGACAAATCTGATATTTGACAGCTTTTGACAGTGACAGTAACCGCAAACAGATGTGACTTTGACATCGAATGACAGTCTAATAATGTTGCAGTGGTATAACTAAATTACTACTTATTCAGTCATGAAGTTAAATAATAAATTACACATTGTACAAGATTTTGTAAAATGTCACCATCATCAAAGTTTATTTATTTTTTAATAATGAAACTAATATACTAGCATTCCTATAAAGCTTGTTCCTTTTAAAAAGGCCGGCAATGTATGTACTTGTGAGTCTCGTGACCTTCCTTCTTCTTTTTGTTTTGTTTACTTCACTAAAGTATAAAATTAGTAAAAAGTAGAAATATTAAATTTTTATTTTGGTTAGTTCAAAATGTAGATAAACTGGATTTTCTACCATTTTTCTACCATTTATGTGAGTGGCTACATCTAACGTTCCAATTTACGCATATTTGTTTGGTTTGCGCGGTACGATTTTTTTCGCAATAGTTTTAATCAAAAAGTTTTTATCAGATTCCACTTGTTAACATTTTTTCACCGTTGCGCGTGGTTACGGTAATGACGTTAATCGTTATGTGTTAACGTTATAATTGTTATAACAATTGATGCGCATAGAAAGTTTAATTCCGACGAAAAGCCGATTGCTTAAACGGTGTTGTGAAAATGGAAAGTATTTTCTTTAGAAATTCAATGTTAGAAATTATGAAAAACAGCATCGTCGTTACCTATTTGAAACTATGCGTATTAATTTATGTTTCTTTATGTCTCCTTTTAAATTAAGATCGGGCTGATGGAGTGGATATATAAAATATTATGTGCATTATTTCATTTATTTGTTTATTCCCCTAATTTTTTCATATTTTTTTAATAACTATTTGTTACATAAGTAGGCAGGTACCTAATTACCCATGAGTAAATTACAAAATAAGTACATTAATTTTATCTCATACGAATTTATATTTAAACTAGGTACAAGCTACTTTGAACATACAACTTGGACCGTTGGATCGCAGTTTTTCATTTAGTGTGTCCATGCATCTTGCATAACGGAAGGACATTTCCAAATTTTTCCTTCTAAGAAGGTCATTAATTTTGGGGACACGTCTCAAAAAGGAAAAGAGGTTCTATTGCTAGGCTCTGTGGGCAGGAAGGTCATGCTACGTTCACTGGGCACGTCTCGTGAGGCAGGCAGTCAGCGCGGAACGAGCGGCGCGTACGCACGTCGCGCCTTCACACAGTCGGAATACGATCGCGGGACCCATATTGTGTCGTAAACTGTCAATCGTGCCCGTTACAATAGTGTTTCATAACAGTTCAGTGATTTGTTTTTTTTAAAGGACATCCCGCACCAACGACTCTGCAAAGAGGTTTGTTTATTTTTCTAATTTGCAGAGTGCCCTCTCTGTCTAGTTTTGTGGTCTAGTATAAGTCGATAGTAAGTAGTCAATAAATGGTAGGAGTTCAATTCCATTCGCGAGTTCATTTGCATCGTTTTGTAAGGTAATGAATGAGTTGTTACGGTCCGTTGCAAGGATTACTTAACCCGACCTCGTAGAGCTTCAAAATTATAACATTTTGACGTAGGATTGGTTGATGCGTGCGTATGATTGCGCACAAGTGGGACTATTTCTGCCCGCAGCTATTTCGTTTTGTTATTTAAGTTATGTAGTTGCGTGTCTAAGTAAATATTTGTTGTTTTTTTGTTTTTGAATACTTAATCGGTGTAATACCAAGGTCGCTGCTTAAGTTTACAAATAGAAGTTGTTACGATTAGAGAATAAAATTTTCGGAACTGATTTTCCAATTGGATTTTGAAGAGTCCAATACTTATTTACGTATTACATAAGAAAGGGAAAGTATTCAGTTTTGTGAATGAATGCGAAAATAATAATAAAATTAAGTTCATATAAAATCCTGATAAAGCTCCCGTGATTTATGGAAAACCTATCTTATTACATTGCGTACTTTCGTTGATATGTAAAGAACAGCTTTAGTACTTGACAAGCAATGTAATCTGAGATTTTAAATATCTGTGCCATGATGTCATTTTCAACGAAATCGTATTATTATATGTAATTTAATTATTTTGACTCACAAATTCATTCTGAAGGTGAAATAGGTAGGTGTTGGTTACGGAAATAAAAACAAAATGTCAAGACAATAATATATTCCATATAGGTTTTATAACGCGAAAAGACGATTTAGAAAATAAGAAAACGCCTAATTATATAGATGATAGCTACATAATAATTACGTAATATTAAAAAAAAAACTATTTAAACTACTTACATATATACAATAATCTGTGGCAGTCTCCATAGACTAAGCTTCCCGCCATAAAGTAAGATTAAATTGGCGGCAAAGCCGACTAGCTCATAAAGCCTTCAGTAATTCGTAATTTAGTTTTATTATATTTTATTCTATGTCTAGTTATTCTTGAGATACATAAGTTTCCGATGTGTTTATTCCAGAGCACGTCCTACCCAATTATCTTGGTAATTACTTTCCGACATTAGACGCAATGACTTATGTTTAGAAACAGTTTTATTGTTTAATGTTTGTGTGTCAGTCTAAGTTTATTATTTCTTCTCTTGGTAACTATACTTGGTAAATATAGTTTTTATTTAAGAAAATCTATCATTCAGTTATAATTCCCGTTTAAAGTTTACCCTTATTTCTATACTCCATTCGTTCTTATTCTGTTCGTTGGTTTACTGGATTTAATTCAGGAGTTTATTTTGGTCGTTTTCCTTCTATAAGTAACTTATGAAGTGAACTTGACTTATCAGAAAACAAGCAACAAAAGGAAACCAGGAAAAAGGAAATCTGTAATTAAAACGATATAAACAACAATTTTTACGTAAAGCGTTTCACACAAGAAATACGACGATTATGTTTCGATTCATCCTTTATTGAAGAGGTAACAATATTTGTACAATGTCAACTCAAGATCGTTACTTACAATATTAATTCAATTTACATAATTCAATTTCCAGTGAACGGGTTTGTGTCCTAGGTCACCTTTGTACCTGCTTTATTCAATAAGAAGACGGCACCTAAATACTAATTATAATATATCTTTTCATCTCTAGATAATAATAAAAAGATTCGCTTATTATGTGTAGGTTGTATTCAAAAGACGTTTGCTTTTTAATCTTGCATAACAATATTATGAGAAAAGAAAAGTGAATTCCTAATTAACTGTCTATAATAATATTACTTTCAATTATTTTATTTAAATCAGTTTTAAATGTTTGTGCATACGATTTTTATTTTATTCAGAAATCCAATGTTATCAAAATAGGTTCATCGGTTTTCGAGTTTTAGTATGACAAATGTTATTTCGTTTTAAAATATAGGTAGGTAAGCAGAATTTTGAAAATGTTCTACAGCATGTATAACGCCTTTTACTTTACAAAAGCGCCATTTTATGAGAATTAGCGTGCGCGGTGCGCATGCGCATGCGTTCATCTTGCCCTTTCTACCGTTTCGTGGAGTTTTAATGGATTTGACATGGCGTTGGGTACAGTTATCTAAATTCTTTGTGAAACTGCTAGTTTTTTTAAATAGATGATTTGAATTTAAATTCCGGAAAAGTAATGTCCATAGATTAAGAAGGTAAAAATAAAATGGTTACCGAACGTAATTACCTAGACTTTTTGAATCATGTTTCTCATGAAGGTATAAATGATATTTAGTTATGCGATTTACAGTAAGTGGGTATTTAGTTGCCATTTACAACGCTCGCTAAGTGCAATCTCAATTAATATGTAGATGGTGTATATTCCAGCTATTTAGATGCAAATTGATGGTCTACGGAAGTTCAAGTCGTTGCGTGGTTGTTGTTTGAAAACATTTCAATCAAATCAGAGAACTATATTGAGCCGTTCATCATCATTATCATCTTCAAAACCCTTAGGTACTTCTATATTTTATACAAAAAAGAATTTAGCTTAAGTTACTAATATTAAAACTGAACTGGTCTCTTTTCCGAACCAAATGTCTGATTTTTATTGCTCATTCAATGATGTCATCATGATTACTCTGTAAATGATCCTGTAAGGAACTTTAGATTTATGAAGCAAAACCGGGACGCATCATCCAATTTCACGGGGGCACATCATCCAATGGCTCTTCCTGTCTTCGGTGAGGCAAGTAGGAATTTCAGACTCTTACCGAGTTATAACCACCCCGTTCGTACTCCTGCTGTAGCTCCGGATACCTGTTAAATAGTCTGCGGCTCCGGAGCAAAAAATTCCTATAAGCAAACCTGAATTGCTAATACTCTATGCCATTCTACCACAGTCCGCAGTCATTGAAAACTAAAAGAAAGGTAATAAAAACAGTTCAGAATCTATAAATTAAATAAATAGTATAGTTATCTATTAACCTTTGTGACACAATAAAAGGACAAAGCCCTTTACGATTACAAATAAAGTTTCCAATTTGTTCTTTACCTAAATCGATAAACAATGCTAAGGTATTATGTTCAAGCATTAAGCTAGGAGGTCGTTAATGGTTTTCTATCGTAAGTACGTCGGTATTCACAGGCTGGTCGGCGGAATGCGCCTATTAGGTACTTGAGTTCCGCCTCTCGGATGCGCTTGCGTCGACGACTTTAGAATGGCGGGAATCTAACGAACAGACCAAGTTATGGGAAAATTGCGGCTGAGCTTCGATTGTGATTTAAATGTCATTATGAGAAGTGTTTGTCTGTCTGTCATAAAGCGTAAAAGACTATACAAGACGAGTTTAGATCGTCTATCAACGATAGCAAGTTAGCTTGTCTAAAACCAGAAATCTGGATAGGTAGGTAAAGAATCTGTTATTTTGTTTGAATCGCAGGAAACCTTTTTGCTTGTATTCTTTTTTTATTTTTGTCAGTGTGAACAGAATATGAACAATAGGAATTAAGAATTCATCTTTGGTCTCATGATAAGGACGAATAGTGTGTTTGATACTTGGATTACCAATTTCAACAAATACTTAGTGCTTCTTGCTTAGATCCTGGAGGACTTAACGGGTTGCCGGGGCTCCGGCTCGAAGGGCAGTAGCACCGGGATGGTTTTT